TTAGAAATATGCCACATAGGTCCCGTAAGTATATATATATATATACATATATATACATATATATATATACACACAAATACCAGTATACCACAAAACATATCCGTGATTAAAGAAGTAAACTTTATGCTCCTCTTTTCAGTATAATGTTCATAGTCTTCAACTCAGCCAAGCGCAAATCCTCGCTATCGACGAAGGCTTTGGCACGATGCAATCGGGTACCTGAAGTTAGTATACGTTGTCGGCCTAACAAATTATGAGACGTTACTGAACGATATTTACTCAGCTAGAAGAGCGAAAGTTACCACTTGCCACCCTACCTACCCGTTCCGTTCGAAACTTCCTATGAAACTAAACAAATAGCAAAAGATCTTTGAATTTGATTGCCGAAGGTGTGGACCATTATCAGTTTGTAACATTGGAGTAAAAAGTAAGTGATATATTGTAATTTAACAACGGAAAAGTAATTACAAATAGAATATCTTTCGAACAAATCAATGAAACAACACTAAGAACCAATAAAATTCTAAGAACTGTCTAAGAAGTCAAGATGATCCAAGATTCGTGTATAGACAAATTGAAATCTAAATTAGGTATTATTAAAGAAGAAATTGTTAATCTATAATATACCGTACATGGGGCAAAAGTAGAAATCGTATAGTCCTTTATCTTGTCTAATGTAACGAAATGGAGATGACTAAGGATCTCTATGACACCGAAAATGTAACGTTCCCGGAGATTGAAGAGTTTTTCGAGTTCAAGGCAAGAGCCATGCGAAGACCGTGAAAACCAAGAAAACTTCTCAACGAAATTAAACTCAATAAGTTACTAGTTTATGGTAAGAAAAGAATTTGGAATCAAAAGTGAAACTTTAACAAAATTGTTATATTAGGTCATATGAAAGGTCTTTGCGGTTTTCTCCGTGGGATGTTGTCAATGCTTATGTGTCGGGAAACACTCACCTGTGATTGCCTTAAACGAACATGTGCTTAAAAGGTGCTATCTCCGCTTACATTTTTTGCCAAGATGGTTTTTGAATTCTGTGCTCGTGTAAAAAGTTATGTTGTTTTTAAAATGAGCGAAACATCTGAATAAATGGACTACATAATGCTCGCCAATTATAAAAAAGGTAAGACATGCAAAAACATGCCGAAAAATATGTGAAATGTATGGTGAGAATGCTGTGAGTGAGCGAAGGACACAGACGGTGTCGAAGATGCATATCCTTGTGGTCAACAATGAAATTTTGCAACTGGTGGAGCAAGATTGTTGTCATCAATAAGAAAGGCACTAAACAGCAACCACATGACAGATTGGAATCATTTGAAAAGAGCAGACTACGGAAAGGAGCTCGATATCGCCGAAAAAACCGCAAAGACTTTTTATATGATCCATTATACAAAAATGACAATGTCATCAAAGTCCCTAATTGTACCCGAATAAGCAGCCTTCATGTGATTACTGTGCAGGAGATACCCACTTATTGAATCTAATCACGGTACGGTCCTCACAGGTGAAGACCTTCATAATCTGACGGCTACTTATTAAATTCAGCAGTGAAATGGTAACCGTGAATGTCAGAGCTTTCTCTTTTTCAGAAATAATATTTTCAAAAATCGCCATCGAAGGGACCCTCAATCGTGGAATTGATCAGAGAAATGATTTTGAGCAACATCAAGCCAATTGCACTTTTAAATGTTGCCAGTAAATTGGGAGATATTATCTGCTACGTTTTGATGGTATTAACATTCCATTCTATATTTTTTTAAGGTAAGTACGGAAGCCTTGACCGACGAACATTCCTTAGGAATTTGATTTGATTCCATTTTCATTAGGGAAGGAATAATTTTGGATCGAGATGAATGCCGGTGTACTCCATTAGCCAATAGAATATTCCAAATTCCTTACTTCCGATACAAGTATCCTTTCCTTGAGGCCAATCATTCTTTTTACGAACGGAAGGAGTTAAGTAAACTTTATCTTTGCTTCTCATAAAATTCCTTCTTTTTTGCTTTTTATGCTTGTCGGTTTGCACGCTAAGCGTATTTGCAATTCGTCGAATTGCCAGACATTCTTAAGAATATTGTTACATTTGGAAGAGTTAATCCAATCAATAAGCACTTTTTTAGAAACACAGGATGCCATCATAAACGATCGTTTGCGGTTATTTGATGCCATGCCCATAAAGTAAATAAATATTTTCGAAATGCTAATCTAAACTTTCTTGTTCTTGTTGCGATGAATAGACAAACAACGCAAATCTGCTGCTTATGTAAATTTGTGAATTTAAGAAAGAGAAGTTATTTACAGCTTGAGTTGAAGCGATTACGTAAATCTTATACCAGCTTATATATATATATGATATTTGATTGGAGTAGAGAGCAAAGATCTATTCATTCGATGCTCGAATCCAATATCGTAAACATTTAGTATAACATTTGAGCTTACTTTGAAGATATGTTTTCTTTCGCTTGTGCAGACTTGAAGACATATTCACATGAGACGAGCTCTTTTGGCCATTGTATTGGGAATAGAAATTAGTTCGGTCCTTTTTCTGAACGAGCGTTTAAGCAACATTGTCGAATCCTGAATGAAACTATGACTTCGCCATTTCAAAGTACTCTCTTTAAACTATACGCAATCATATAAACTATCATTGTTAAGTGTGCATAATACGGCTTCTCGGGACTTTGTGTAGGTGTAGGTCTGTGCCAAAAAAAAAAAAACATCATTTGCGGGAAAACTGTAATTTTTCTGCTCAATACAAAGGATCGTGCTGCTAAATGGGTATCCAAACCCCATATAAGTATGAATAAGAATCAACGAATCATGAATATCGACGATAAAGCTGACTACTCGCAGCCGATCCCGTTTAGGGACTCGGCTAGGTGTAATACACTATACTTTGTTTCGACCAAATGAAACTATCACTTTATCGTAGCTCTTGTGGCAAAGCTTTTGCAGCAGAAAGTGGGCGTGATATGCCGAACGTCATAACATTGTGAGTTTTCAAAATAAAAAAATAAAAAAATTAGACGTCTTTCGCATTCCTAATTTGAAACACCGTACCCGTCCCGCCGTTACCAGCAGATATTACTTTTCCCGATTAACGCGGCTTTTAATAGATGACTTCTTCTTTACTTGAACCGAACTACAACTCTTATGAACCCAGACCCAAATATGGCTTTTTTCGGACGAAGCATTTTTTCGAGATGCAATTTGAAAACTTCTTTAAAGGTGGAAAAAGATGGTGGACAGCGTTGAAGAACACTCAAATTACCTACTGCTTATTCATTTTGCTCTAAAATAAATACTTTTTCGACCACAACATATATAGAATTCTTTGATAATAGTAAGCGCAGATTTCGATTTCGATAATTCGAGCTTGACATGGGTGAAACGCTTAAGAATTTATTCAAAGTTATAAAAATTAGAAAAAAAAATTCCCATTGTTTTTACGAGCATTTACCCGGTTTTCTGGCTTTAACTGACGACCATAGTAGGAAAAAACTTGAGATAAAATTTACAATTAAGTTTATTCTTCTTTCGGAATATACATCCTCTGTAAGGGTTATAATAATATACCACAATATTTACTTCTTACTGTAGTTGAAGGGTGTATATAGGACTCGGTTTTTGCACCCTAGGCCACTCACGGTACTTGGGTATATTATAAACGAAGCGGATTTAAGATACGTCCTCAATTTGTTCGAAATCATTTGCTCAATGTATGCATCTAAGCTAAATCTGTCCATCCATCCACTTGATGTTTGCTCAACCTACAGATCCCTATTTTCGAGATATTTTAAAGAGATTCGGTAGACTAAGGACAAAATCAATTGAAAATTGTTTGCACCACTTGTGGTACAAGAGTACATTAAGTTTGTGAGGATATATCCAACACTCAGAAAGACTTAAACTAGACCGATCGATTCAGAAACATTTTTTGAATTGATTTAGGCTTCTCTGTCTATCTGTCTGTCCGCAATTTTTAAAATATTTTCATGAAATTTCAGTTGTGGCCCATTTCGGACGCAAGGACGAACCATATGCAAAATGGTTTCCTTATTTTGAAATGGGATAACTATAGGATGGTGTACGGTATTGGCAGGTCGTGGTTCACTATAGTGTTCTGACTTGTTTTTTTATCATTTCTTTATTGAAAAATACTCAGGGAAATCTTATTGAAATTAGCTGACCTAACAAATTAAACTGTTGCTGATTTGTAAATATATAATTACATACATATATAACATACATATATATATATATATATATATATATAATTGTAAACAAATTAGTTGTTTACGCATTATCGATTTCATGCTTCGACATGCATACGACAGACAGATGCCGGTTGGATTTAGAAGAAGAAAAATCATTAACTTCAGCAACAAGAGCATGGATACAAGCACTTAAACAAATTAATATCTGCGACAAGAAATTCTTCGCTACCACTTCACGCATATACACAAGCATACTTAGCCCCCCAGTGGTCCAAAGAGAGCGGAATGATTGTAAAAATCGAATAAATAACGATTTTAAATCATTTAACTACGATGCAATGCGATTTCTTATCTCGGTTTCGCATGTTTTCATTATCAACGGTTGTTGAGCGGCGATAACTGGAAGATTCAAAACAAATATACGGACAGGCATGCAAAAACATACGTATGATGCACATGAACTCATACGTCTTTATATATATATACTGTGGAATATTTTTTTGATTTGCAAGCAGAGAAGAAGCGCATAGGCATGCCTTTGTATTATACATTTGCGATTTTATTTAAATTGTCTTCAATGAAATCAGTAAATGGAAGCACATTTCTTTTGTAATATGCCCGACATAAAACTACCGCATGAATAAGTGGGATGGTTGTCCTTTCCTAACTCATTTCTGTTTTTGTTTTGTTTTTTGCTTTCTCTTCACAATATTCTTCCACTTGCTTTACTTTCGAGAATAATTTGACAACTTTTACGCTTACAGAAGGGAGGTGCTTTCAACGCCACTTTACCCATCTTCCGATCATACATTAAGAATAGATCCATGCTTCGCGCCTTTAAGGATAATACAATAAACTTTTATCCGCCACTTTAGTAAAAGTTGTTTTTCTCTCCCTGTTTCAAATAAAATAAAACTTCCAAGTAGGCGTAGTATTCCTCTTACTACTTACTACATGAAGTATCCTCGAATGAATACGCAAAACTGTCCATAATTTTTAGATGCCCCTGGTAAATATTTGTAGTGCAATTTTTGTTAATACATTTTATGAGTTGCAGGCCAAAGTTTTTTGTTTTGGTTTTCCTTTTCTTTTTTTTTTTTTTTTTGCATTGTTAAGCATGTTTTTCACCGGATGACGGCCAATTTTAAAACTAAAATATCTGTTTTTTATAAAAGTTTAAGTTTTTTCTTAACTTTTACATGGGGAAGCAGTTCGGCCACAACCAAAACAAATGCAGCCGGGACACAAGTTTAAAAACCCAGAGGATTTTTTATGCTACGCAAAATGCATATACTTTCCAGGGTCACTGAAGCCTATCTCTTAACATTGCAATCGTTTGTTGCGTTGTCCCTTATGGATTACTCGAGAATCGGAGTAAAAAGTTTCCATGAATACAGTTATTCCTATAACGAATTTTCAAAATAACATATTGTATGGAGAGTGATCGAAAAAGTTTTCCTTTCCGCTTTCGTCCTTGGATCAAAACATATCCCCGTACCAAATTTCAACAAAATATCTCAAAAATTCGGAACCTACAGGTTGAACGTAATATACATGGACAGACGGACAGATAAGCTTAGATCGATTTTTTCATATAGCAAATTATTTGTTCATAAAATGATTCGGACAATCATTGTCTGAATCAATCGGTATAATAAAAAATGGATCTATCTTAAAGCCGTTCGGGATGTTACATAACACCGCACAAAGTTAATATATTCCGTATCACAAGTGCTGTAGGGTATAATTAACAGAAGACAGTTCAACATCAATAAAAAATTATCATCGAATGCCTATACACATACCTATTCAGTAAAGCGATGCCCATTGGATGATCTAACTAAAGTTTAGCATAGATTATACGTTGAAATTGAGCTATTAGTTAGCTTAGAGTACGACGGTGCTTTCGATGGTTAGAACCACCCTTTAAATATGTACAAATATCTCGTACGATTCATTTTTGCATACTTTCTATAGAATCTTTCGTCGCATATTTGTGTGTCTTACTAATATTTGCAAATCTATTCTCTAGTCTCTTAAGGTAGATGATAAAAAAATGCTGTTTTACTATATACCCGCGCTACGAACTTTCCAACTATAGCCAACTATAATTTACTCAATTTCTCATTTGTACCTTAACCTCTCTCTCATAAATCAATAAAAATTGTTTCCAGACGTACACAGAAGTATGACGACGTTTTTCGAATCCCATATTACATTTTTCCTTTTTTTATACCCTACAGCAGTTTTAGTATATTGAGTTTGTGCGGCCGTACGTAAGATCCAGAAGGACCTTTTATTATATCGATCGACTGAAATCCTTTCGTGTATCCGTCTGTCGGGTGTAATGTCTGTCCATGTATTTTGTGTTCAACCTACAAGTCGCAGTTTTTGCGATATCTTAAGGAAATTTAGTACATTGACATGTTCCGATCCAACAGCGAACCCTGTTCAAAATGTTTCGAATCGGTTCACTTTTGCAAACAAAAAATTGTCATTTTCAAAGGCTTTCGATAGAACTCACCGAGTAATAACACTTCGACATTCTAAATTGGCATGAAAAATCTGTTTCGACTGGGCCAATTTTTTGAATCCCCTCTCATATAATCGTTCCTACGAAACTCGAATGCTAAAAAGATCAAATTTTCAATAATTCATGATGAAAATTGGCTCACAATAGTCAATTGACATTGAAAAACATCAACTTTGGCGAATTTCGAGCACGAAGGTCCATTTTTTGGATACCACCGCATCTAAAGATTTTCGGGTAATATAACAAAAAAAACCTTCATTTATGATGAAAACTCGTTTATTATATATGGTATTTTGATATGAAAATTAACGGAACCACTTGAGCCTATTTCTGAGATCACATTCCATATAAATTGTTTTATGAATAGGAAGAAGACCTTAAGAAAAAGATTCTTAATGCTTAATATATTATGATGAAAACTAACATAACCCATTTCGGAAATTTGACAAAACATTCAACCGTAGCGTATTTGAATCGCATAGGTCTTTTCTTTAGACCCCAACCTACATAGAGGTTATCATCAAAGGCAAGCCCTTATATGAAGAAAAAAATGTAATTTGCAGTAAGTTCCGGAAACTGGAAAATAATAAAATTTTTAGAAAATATATTAAGTTAAGTAAAATTTGGATTACGTCATGATGTCATGTTCTCGGGATATTGCAATGTGTGCGGGCTTTCACGAAAAGTATGCTTTTGCCTGAACGGAACGTTCAATTTCTAGCGCATGATTACCAAAACAAACGATTCACTATACTAGGTGAAGGGAGTGTAGAGTATCTAATTGTCGGCCCCGATTCACGGCTGTAATATACTTTCTTGAATGCTTTCGTTTTTTGAATTTCTTGTTAGTTGGTTGTCTGTGCATCATAGCAAACATGTGAAACTCGTGCTTATACAAAATGATAGCTGATTGTGCCGCTGAAATAAGGAAAGCGATCATCAATTGAAGTAAAACGTGAGAATTCTTTTTATTTTATTTGTATATTTATGACGATCTTATTTTTATTAATATTATTATTATTTTTATTAATATTATTATTATTATTATTATTATTATTATAATTATTATTATTATTATTATAATTATTATTATTAATGTTAATAATGATAAGTATCAGTAGAGATTGTGTAGTTGTTTTTCATTTTTTTGTTTTTTGTTTACTTTTTTATAATTATACATTATTTGGTATTTGGAATGTTAATGTGTTTTTTTGTGTTTTTTGTTTTTTTTTTTTTTTTTTTATTTGATATTCTCAAGATTTAAAAAATTGTTTCAAAGATTTTTTTTTTATATTTCAATAAATGTTAAACGTTTAATGTTTTTAATTACAGGTGCATTTCGAATTTGACAACAGAACGCAGTGGTTAAAGAGTAAAAGAGAAAGAGAGACAGAGAGAGAGAGAGAGAGAGAGAGTAAGAAACTTTTTCCTTTTCATACTTTCTTATAATTCTTTATTGACTAGGATCAGACTGGTACATATATATATATACCGATATATAGATACACATGTATACATATATATATCGGTATATATATATATATATAAATACATATATATATATCGGTATATATATATATATATATATATATATATATATATATATATATATGTATTTATATAATATATTTTAAAATTCTTATATACGTAATTTTGTTGCTTTATTTTTATATATAGCTACCTTAAATAATATATTTACCGTCATTCAAAAAAGTCTTCGCACAGTTACATTTGCACTGTTATTTATTTAAAATTTTCTCAGAGTCTTAAGTTTAGTCTTAGAATTTTCTAAGTTTTAGGCTTATTTTTTTAATTATTTATTTTTAGTTTTTATATATATAAAGTGCTATTATGAATTAATCTGAACCGTAGATCCATTTTACGCT